CCCTGCTTTGCCATCTCTAGCGGCCACGCAGTGAAGAGCAGGAGCAAAGACACTGTAAATCTCAGTCATTGCTGTGTCTGCGCCATCTATGGAGGCTTAAACTCCACCTGAGCATCCTCTGACCTACTTGCCATGGAGTTATAGGAGTAATTTACAAAGCCCCAGGGCCCAAGGTCATGCCTGAAAAAAGACATGTCCGGGATCACTGACCCTGGGAGGGCAATTCAGATGTAATTCTGGCATCCACCCCTGTCCCTCCACCCTTACTTCATTTCAAGGTCATGAAAAACTTGAATAAAAGGACTCCCCTGTTAAAGGTCCTTAGAGTTCCGCCCGTTTAAAACAATTTTCAAAACATTTATAAGGAAATTGCCTAGAACTATTCCCGCTGTGTTTTGCATCTGTCCACGAGTGTACTTCTTGCCTGTCTGTGGTATTAGTTCCTTAAGTTGGCAAACACTTGCTGGACAACCTCTGTGTGAGGCAATGGGGCAGCCATTGGAATATCCACACAGGCGAGAGCACGGTCCAGGCCACTTGGGTGGGTTTAAGGGAGTGAGAGATTCAACAGGAATCCCCTTGCATTACAGGTGAATTGTGTCCCATGTCTTCAGGCTCTGGAATGATCTGATCCTTCCTCCTGGGACAAATCAGAGTGCCTCTAACCAACCGGGCCAAAAGGGGAAGTGAGGATTGGAGGTGGGTCCTGACAGCCGCACCTAAGGGGGGAAAGGTGGGTCCTGCCTGTGGAGAGAAGTTACAGTACCTTAAAAGTGCAAAGAAAGAGGAAGTGTGAGGACCACCAGTTCACACACAGTGACGCTGGGTTCTGACCTCATGGCTGGTCACGGGAAAGAAGACAGAGATCCTAAGGGCATGTTTGTCTGTTAGAATCAAGGTGTTGGCACACACTCTCTAACACCTCAGTGAGGCCATTGGTCTAGTGATTAAACACATAGACTAAAGCCGGGCCACCTGCTCTGCTACTCACTAGTCATGTGACTACAGCTGAGCCCCTTGTGATTTTAATGCCCCTCGTATTTTTGGCAGCTAGAATGAAATAATTTAATTTTTAATTAACATGTAGGCTTTAAACAAATGTTTCAATTGCTTTGGTTGTCACGTAGCTTGTAGTCAAAGACTAAGAAAGTATGCTAGTCATGTTCTGAAGGGCTGCCTGTAAAGCAAGTTCCAGAAGCAATGTTTAAAAGCACACTTTGCTCCAGATTGGGGATGGGAATGCTGTGGAGCCAGACCAGGATCAAAGGCAATTCAGAGGCTGTCCGTTAGGACTTGATGGGAGCAGGGATGCGGGGGGGGGGAGAGAGAATATCCAGGGAGGAGAAGGCAGGAGCCTTTGAGTAGAGGAGAACCACCTCCTCTCTGCCCACCCCTGCCCTCCACTTGGCTACAGTCCCAGATGAATGAGGTAGAAACTTATCTATGATGCAATTGAATGCCTACTGTGCCTGGCATTGTTTCAAGTGGTCTGTTTGTATCACCTCGTGACTTTCTCACCATACCTCTGATGATGTATTTTTACCTTGTTTTATAGGCAAAGAAACCGAGTCATAGACAATGAAGCAACCTTTAAACCAGTGAGAAACCTAACAAAGTTCAAGTTTCTAAGCACTTTTCCCCTGGGTGTCAATAAGTACAGAGGCAAATGTGATGCCCTTGGGTGTTAACTCTTATTTGCACTTAGGTTAACACATTTATTTCTTCTTAACCTTCTTATTTTTTTTTTTATTAACTCTGTTGCTTTTACAGCCTGTATTTTAAGCCTCCTCAAACCCTGCCAGAATAGAAAAGGGCATTTCTAGGAGACCTGACTCCAAGATTGGTTCCAGTTTCCCAGTAAGAAGAGGCAGGATGCCAGGGCACATGCTCTCTTCAGAAGTAAAGTTGACGCAGTGGCCTGATCATGTCTTAGAGTTACTGGAAGCTGTTCTGTTGAGACTTCTCAAGAAAGGATATCTGTCTTGCACCCACCTGTGCTCAAATCCTACAGGCAGTAGGTTCAAAATAATGTCTCAAGGACTACATATTTCCATCACCGTCACCCTTTCCCACCAGCTCTGGGTGTGGCGAGCCTCTGTTTTCAAATGTTTCTTCACTCCCCTTCAAACAGAACTGGGCACCCAGCATCCATGGCTCTGCCCCCACAAGGTCCACTGAAATTTCCAGACAGAGAGGGCGTATAGGGGGAGGGCGCTTTCAAGCACCCAGACAGCCAAGCTGTGATGCGGAGACTCACTGGTTGGAGTGGTTTCAGGCCAGCGTCCCACAGCAAAAAAGAGCTGGATTTTGGTTGTGCCAGGCAAACTGGTCTGTTCCTCCGCCAACACAAGGCATCCGGGGTTGGCCCACCCCCCTCCCCAGACTTTATGTGCCTCCTCCCTGACTACTCATCCCCTGGTCCCTTCCCTTTGGTTTTGAATTCACAAATTTGGGTGTGATGTGGCGCTGGACCAAGAAAGAAGGGACAGAAGCACAGCTCTTAGAGTTTGGAACTCCCAACGTCTCTGATCCCCTCTGAGCCAGCTTCAGGACAGCCCAGTGTTCCTGAACACTTCTTCAGGATGAACTCTCTGGAGACCTAAACTGAGACCCTGTTTTCTCCAGGCCCTGGTTCTCAGAGCATAGCAGGAAAGCAGGGAAGAGAGGCAACTTGCTGGAAACTCAGGAACTCGATGTAATGAAGATCCTGTGGCAGAAGCAGGGAGGGGTCAGCTCACTGCCACCACACCCTAGGACATGTGGTTTTTGACTGAGAAAGTGAGTGGGCAGCAGGACATGAGTCATTCCCACAGCCAGCCCAAGGAGTAGGTAGAGGATAACAACTTCAGGCACTTGCCTAGCTCTTCATTCATTCATTCATTCATTCATTCAACAAATAGTCTGCTATGGGTTTGATGGATCAACAAGATTGACCAGCCCATGCCCTCACAAAACACAAACTCCTTCCACCTGGAATTTCACACTGAGGACCAGCCATGAACATCACCACCAAGGAGGCAAAGTCAACCTTCCACTCCAACCAGACCGCCCACTCCTGTATCCAGCCACAGCCACAGCCACACAGCTCATCTTCCAGGACATCCTTATTTATCATTCACTGTCCCAGCAAATACTTCTAGAGCACAAGGGATTGTGCCAGGACACGAGCACCACAGTCCATCCACACTGCAGAGCCACCTGTTCTCCACAGGACACCCCCAGCCAGTTCAGAGCCCCTCACTCATCTGAATCCTCAGCTGGAGGAAGTTCTCTGGGGAGAGCTCCCCAGGGTTTGATGGGCAAAGCTGGAGGAAAAGCTGCCCTGGGAGAGTCACCAGAATCTGGACCTGAACTTTAGCTTTGCAGGCCCCAAAATACAGGTGTTTGGGGGCTCAAAGAGGGGCTTCAGCTATTGGGAACTGCCTCATGGGCGATGCGGTTCTGAGCACATTCCAATGTCTTCATTTTCAGTGGGGAAATCTCTTTCCAATGATGGGGACCCTCTTGCATCTGCCTAGGGCCTTGCTGCTCAAAGTGTGTTCTGCCGGCCAGCAACT